GAGGGATCTCCGTAAAAGAAACCCACACTAAAATGGCGCCCAACGTGGGGCCCGTTCGGTATGCCTCTGCTTCTAGTCGTCCCCAGGGAGTCCCATGGATTCGTTGAGCGGGTTGTTCACTAACGCTGACGATGCCCGTTGAGAAAAAGTATTTCGGAATTTCGGTGACTTGTCTCACAGCAGAGCTCAGCAGGTGTCTCCTCGAATCGAGTACTTAAAGGTCTCGAAGGACGACGTTGCGGACGTGCGTTCTCGGGTACCCCAGAATAGTGGTTGGCACAAGGTGACCCAACCGGGGGGAACACGAGGAGCGCGGTTAAGATGTAAGAAAGTCGTCTTCGGAGGCAGAGGGGAGGCACGGCAGGTTCGCTGGAAGGCAGGATAGCGACTGGCAGGAGGGAAAACAGCCAGGAGTTATTGCATATTTAAGATTTAGGCTTGGAGTGATGCGGTGAGCCAGTAAGCGCTTGTCGAGGTCCGGGGTACAGATCGGTTTTTGTCAGTGGGTGTCGGAAAGATTGCGGGAATTGCAGTCGACACCGGGAACACTGGCGGACGAGATTGTCAGCGGGTGTTGGGTAAACTGGCGTAAATTGCAGTTGACACCGGGAACGCTGGCAGGCGAGTTAAGGAGCAGTATGATTCGTAACCGCTGGGCCAAGACGGCTAGTTGCTTCGCGTCACTCCAACAACCGGCGAAAGGCAGAGGGACGACTCTCCCTTGAGGGGGTCGTTCCGAGAAAGCTACGAAATGTTTTATAGGATACTTTTTCGGCTTCACTCTGTCCGGTCGTGGCAGTGACAGCAAGACTTTTAATAAGTTATGTCGCGTCACGACCTGGCCGGGGATGAGGCGGTAGACATTTAGGTGGCTTGTAGTTGTCCAGCTTGCCTTGAGGCGTGAACGGTTTAAGCGGGCTTGCTCGCTGAGCTGCCGCCCCCTCCGAGGACCGAGCAGTACCTAGAGCTCGTATACACGTGGACGAAACGGGACGCTGACGCTTACATCGAGTAGCACATGGTATATGTAGCCGTTGCGGAACACGGGTATGGTGTTTGGTCGTCCCGCCACAGGCTTTGGATCCCTTCGCTTGCGCAAAAGATGGACTAGGTTTACTCCATCGTTACCTGTTCAGAAGAAAACTCACGCGTTGAGCAATGCAGCTAGTGGTTTTGCCCCATCGCTTGCTCCGAGGTGAGAAGGGCACCCGAGGCATAAGGACGCGAGCATCGTGTCTTACTTCTAGGCTTACTCGGCGAGATACAAACGAGGAGGCTTGCCCGGTTCCCATTGCTGACTTGAAAGGATACTACCGTTGTCGCGATGGGGAAGACGTATAACATGAGGTTGCGGCAGGACGCAAGAAATCCCCTGTTCTTGGCGACCCAAGAGCGAGCTCTGGAATGCCGACTTGCTGAGTTAGCCGCATGGTACACGAACCCGTCGGCAAGCTATTTTGGCGGGGGGGGGCTATGGCCACTGCCACAGTCTGCGGCAGAGTACTTGTTCGTTGTGTGTTGTTTTAACACTTTGTTCTGCGCAGAATAGCTTCTTGGAAAGACGGCCGTATACAGACGGCGTAACCCAGGAAGCCCACCGGGAGGGAAGACGGGACCATTCGTTTTCCCATGTGCTCAGGGTGGCTGACAGTTGTTCGGCCTGACGAACGGTTCAGGCGGGCAGTTCTAAGCCCGCTGTGACCTCTAAGCGGAACGGGGCAAGTCCGTCTGCGTCGGCCGGACCAGCTTAGAGCAAGCCCCCTGCTGCATCGCGGTGAGTGGGACAGCGAGCGACAGACAGGTCGGCATTGTGCGCCGGCTTCGCTAGCCACCACCACCTACGCCGCTTTCGGACGCTGCAACGTGGTCACTCCGGCAACAGCAACGGCGGCCGCCCATGAAGCCCAGCCGCTCCCTGAGGCCCATGAAGTCCCCCGAAGTCCGGGCCTTGAGGGGGGGAGAGTGTGGGAGCCGGGGGTGAAAGACGAGGCAGAGGGCACGTGACAGGCGGTCGGCGGAGAAATCACGAGCTGGCGCAGGACAGTGCGAGCTGAGCGAGGCTGGGAGCTGGACAAAAGAACGACGGTGCCGGGGCTGCCTAGCCTGGCCCATAACGAACCCCGGAGCGGTCCACCAGCGAGGTCTGGAGCAAGACCGGTGGAAACGGCGAGCCCGGGCCATATAACCTGGGCTATGACGATCCCGGGGTGGTTCCGCAGCGAGACTCGGGCATTGATAGCCCGGGACAGCCAGCCTACGCAGCGTTGGCGTGGGAAAGGCGGTCCGCAGGCCTGGACACGGACCCCGACTGTGAGCTCTGATCGACGGGCGACAACAAGGGTCGACGGGCCCGGACTACCGGCTCTCGACGACCGGCAAACGAGAGGTACAGTAAACCCATTCGCTGTCTTCTTGTTGCAGTGTGCAACTCCCTGGGTGACGGGCGGAGCGCATACCGATAGGGCAGGATTATTAGTAGAGGGATCTCCGTAAAAGAAACCCACAATTGGTAACACGAAAGGACGTTGGAGGCCCAACAACATCGGCGTACCTCAGGGGGCGGTCTTGTCACCGCTTCTCTTCAACCTCGCCATGACCGACCTCGCTCAAGCCCTGGAGGCCGTCCCGCAGGTCTGCTATATACCATTCTATGCGGATGATGTCACCTTGTGGACAACGACCGGAAATGCGACCGACCAGCAGCGCCACATGCAAAGTGCCCTTGACCTAGTCACCACGTTCACCTGCAACACCGGATTCGAGCTTTCCAAAGACAAGACATTGTATATGGTCATCACTGCCAAACGCAGGAGTTCCAGCACCGACATGCAGCTTTGCGTAGAAGGTACCCCCATCACACCAACAGATGATATAAAGATTCTGAGCGTCCCCTTTAATAAGAACAGAAGGACATCCACGTGGATTACGCAAGTCAAGAAACATTGGAAGGACTGCCTGGACCTCCTCAGAGCAATTACCAGCAAAGCTTGGGGAGCTCAAGAGGACCTACTGCGCTATCTCGTGCCCACGCTCCTTGTCTCCAAGGTGGTGTACGGCCTGAGCTTCCTCCGCCTCACTCGGAAGCAAGAGGCCGCACTCGTCAGCTTGAATCGAGCGGCGATGAGGATCGTCACGGGTTTCCCCCGCTTCACGCGGGTGGAGCAGCTCGAGTGCGTCGCGCAAATGAACACCATCCGAGAGATCGCGGGCGAAATGCGCATTAGTCAAGCCCAGCGCGTGTCCCGGACTCCACAAGGAAGAATTATCCTAACCAAGAGTGGGCGCGCCCGTCTCATCGAAGGACCACTGATGCCAACATCCCCGCCTCCGTGGGAGACGGCCGTCGTCGCCAAACCAATACCCAGAAACCAAGGGCACAACGCGCCGGGACGGCGGGTCACCCAGGCCTCTATCGTTTGGCTGAGGTCGACGGGCTGGAAGGGCACGTAGAGGTGTTCTACACCGACGCGGCGCGCTCAGAGACCGGCCGCACAGCCATCGCCTGGCACTCCCCCCTAAGAGGTACACGACACGCAGCAGCAGCTTAAAGAAACTGCCCGGAGCGTCTGCTCCGCGGAACTACGGGCGATCCTCATGGCGGTGAGGGCGGCCACTCAAGAGCGAACCGACGTCACGGAAACGCGAATTTACATGGATTCTCAAGAGGCGCTCCGAGAATTACGCCGGACTGGCACATGCAACCCTACTATTGCGGGGATTTGATCAATGGTGCGCCAGGCGAAGGCGCATCAATCCATCAGCGTTACGTGGCTCCCAGGCCACGAAGGCATACCGGGGAACGAGCGGGCGAATGGGGCCGCGAGGGCAGCGCTACAAGCAAGATCGCTCTCACAAGGTCCGGTTCCCTCGTCTGTTCTTCGGGATGTGCCCCAGGACCACTTCGATCTCTCGGAGGTGAAGCGCGCAGAGAAAACCGCAAGGAAGGCGCGCCTCACCGCGCTTCTATTGCCCGACCCTCTTCCGATTTCGCGCGGCTTTCCACGGTGGGAGCGGGTGGCACTAAACCGGCTACAAACAAGAACGATGATGACACCAGTATATGGCTGGCAAGGTGACACCACCGAGCGGATCCACAGGACATCGGCCCCGATCCAAACTGCACACAGTGCGGCGTCCCGGCCACCTGCTCCCATCTTGTGTGGGAGTGTGCTGGATACGCATAAGCGCGGGGGGCCGCGATCCACGACCTCCCAGGAACCTTGCGCCCCCGCTCCTTTTTGGAGTGGACTCATCCGAACACTACCGTGAACTCGGAACAGAAACTCATTTATGCTTCACTCACCGACTTCCTCCGATCCTCCGGGGTCGGTAGGTTCATCTAATCATCATCACCCATCACTCCCCACCCCTCCCCCCGCCCCCCTCCCTTATCCCCCTGCCTACCTTGAGGCCCTCCAGCCGGAAGGCAGATATTCAATAAACGTATTAACCAACCAACCAACCGTAAGGGACTGGGAGCCCGGACACTATGCCGTGAAGATCATCCTGTCTCTGGTGAGCAACCTGCACGTCCGACCCCCCTTCGGCTGTGGAGTCTTCTACCTGCTAACCCTCAAACTTGGGACCCCTTACGGCTGTGGAGGAGTTCGGCTCGCCCGCCTTTGCGTGGATCCTCGTTTGTTGAGTCTGGCTGTGGTGGGGGCCCGTCTGGCTATGGTGGAAGTCCCCGCTGAGGGTGTGTGTGGTCGAGGAGGACGGCAGGGGAAGTCGCCATAGGTTAGGAGTATCCCCCCCCAGCATTCATTGACGAATTGTTCATATTTTTTAGAAAAGAGTAACTCATATTCCTTAAATAAACAGTTATTTGTTAACATCAGTATCGTTCATCAACGGAGAAGAGGATTCTATTTTCTTCGTTACAATATCTTAATTCAACACATAAAGGAGGAAATGTGTAAGACGTTACGAGCTGTCGAACTCTTTTTTTAATACGGTTCTTGGGAGCGTGACTATATATAGACGCTGTTAAAAGGCACAAGGGGAACTGAAAAATAGTTTATTTGCTCTTGACTGATCAGCGTCACCCGATTCCTGTATCAGTCGGTAGGGGGCTGATGCGGAACTGCAAGGGCTTTGGCGAAGGGACTCCAGAAGGGCCAGGCCTTGAAGCGCGGCGAGGCCAAGTACTCGCGCAGACCAGGTAGAGCGGCGACCCGCGCGCAGTACTTCTCAAGCTCCGGGTAGTTCTTGAAGGAGCTCGGGCCCATGGCGCGCACAACCTGCAGGGCCTCGTAAAGGATGAAATCCGCGTAGGTGACCTTGTCGCCCGCCACGAAAGGTCCAGCCTTTGCCAGGAACGTCACGAACTGCTTCAGCTTGTCGGGGGCCACCTCGGTGAGAAACTGGCGCCTCTTGTCCTCCGTGTACTCCGGGTCGTAGCAGACCCGCACGCAGTACATGATGACGTCAAAGGCCTGCATCTCGACCATGTCAACGCGGCGCTGCTGTTCCTCGGTCTTGGGAGCCAGGCCGTGCTTGCGGCCCAGGTACTTGAGAATGGCCAAGCTCTGGGTGAGCTTGACGTCGCCATCCATGTAGTATGGAAGGTTAGGGAAGTCCAGACCCAGGTTGGGCTTCACGGCTAGCCACTCGTCCCTCGTCCATTCGGGTCCTGGACCAAAACCGTACCTAAAAAAAGCAGTGATAGGGCTTCAGCTGAGTACCCTTGATAAGAGAAGCCGACATGCTCGATACTCTGGTTCACCTTGCCATGGACCGTGTAGTACGTTGCGAGCCTTCTTGGCCAATCCAGCACGGTGAATGTATCAAGTGAATCATGCTCCTCCTAAATGTCACGTGACACTCACGCGGCTCTGAACTGGCTTCGGTGGCTCATAGCCTACACCGGAGTTCATCGCAAGGTGAAACGGAGTATAGATACAATGAACCAGACTAGTGTTAATGCAGGTTTCATGCATACATAAGGTGCTGTCGGAGTGTGGAATACAATAATAAATTACTATCGTTTAAGTGTCAACGGGACTGCACGCAGTACGGCGAGTGCCGGAAGATCTAATGCCAGTGGTGATGTCGGTCGTTAGAGAGTAAGGACGGAGTTAGTGAGTCGGACCGTCGGATGAATCCAACGACGAGAAGTACTGAAAGGTGACAAGAGAAGGCGAGAAGTGGACCCATAAATAATAGAATAAATAAAAAGAAGCGAGGGGAACTTAAGAAGCCCAGCAGCGATCGGCCCCCGAAGTTGACCGGAGGGTTGGCTAAGCCCATTGCTCCTCTCTCCACCTGAGCGTCGGGTGCTTTGTATGCAGGGTGGATGCAGGAATTTCATGAGGGGGGGGGGGGGGGGGGGGGGTCAGCTGTTGGTCAGCGTACCATATGTTTAGGAACCCCCTCCCCCTCCCCCTCTCCCTTGTTTCACGCCCTAAATTTTACACATGCAGAAATCAAGAGGGGGGTCAGGACATCCGGACCCCCCCCCCCCCCCCCCTCCCTCTAAATCCGCCCCTGCTCGTATGCCCGCTAGCAGGCGTCACAGAGCGCTCGATCTCTCGTGGAAAGTTTTGCGTTGGTCGCCAGTGTGACCTGAGCGGGCTAACCGAGACCAATGAAGAACTAGCCGCTTTTAATTTGCGAACTTCACAGTATATACCAGAGGTCTTAAGCACGTATGAAGAGAAATTTCTCTTCAAACTGCCGTATAAAGAGAAATCATTATGTGCCTGTTCAGCCTAGTGAATTGTGTGATTGGTGTGTGTGTGTGTGTTCATATAGCCTAAACTTAGTCTGCCTCAACGGGCGACTTGCCTCTCAGCTGTAGATGAGCAATCCAGGCAGTCCGTTACAACCGCTAGCCTGGGTTTTTTATCGTGCACCACGCAGTAGTGATACACGACCGCACGGCGGTACGTGAATTGTGTGACATGGCGACGACAGTGTGCTTGCTGTCCCATTGAAAACTGTTAGAACTGTGGTCTGCCGCTGTTTCAAATATTTTTATAACATCACGTATGGGCCAAAAGTACGCGCATATGCAAATGAAAGCTAAAGATGGCAAAACTTACAAATCTTACAAAGAGCAGTTTCCTGTCTAGAAAATCTCCGGGCTGTCACTGGGACAGTCAGCTGCTTTGCAACTGTAAACACGACTGCTGTTTCTTTTTTTTAATTTTTGTCTCAAAAATAACAAAATAGCAAAAAATAACAGGCGAAACACCCTTTTCAGTGGGGTGTGTGGCCTGTTATTCACAAGAAAATAAAAAATTGGTTCTAACGTTACAGTGTATAGCCAACGTAGAATGCAGGTGTCCCAGCTTACCTTGGTGTATTTCCTGAGATAAGAGTTTGTTAATCTTGCTAATGGCAAGGCGTTCTTTTTTTTGGCAAGCAAAGTATGCACTGAAACTCTAAGTTTCCGTTCTGCTTAATGCCCTGAACTTTGAGCGCGTTATTAAGGGATGGCCATGAAGACGACGGACATTCCATGACCAAAAACTCCACCAGTCGGAGAAAAAGTGGCAGTTACGGGTTATCGATCGTTCCTCGGTGGTCACTTTCATACCAATATTCGCGGAGGCCAGGGTAGGGGGCATAGAGAACGAGAGGAGCGGTGGCCATCGGTCTCACAAAACAATAGAGGATCACACCACTTTTACGCGTTCTCTCTTTCTCTCTGTCAGCACTCCTTAGATGGCCTAAATCCCCCCTCCGCTTTTTATGTTAACAGTTGACTGTAAAGTGAGGAGTAAACTCGACCACCATGCCCAGACAAGTAAACCAAAAGATGTATCATCTGTATTTCGAAGACGATGCTCTTAGCCTCGCGCCGGGCGCTTTTCAGCCGTGCCTCAAGAGCGTACTAGAATAAAGTATTGCACATCAAAGACAAAGAGAATTCGCTCGCGCGAGGCTACATCGTCTGTTACGCGAGTTGTAAACCCGCGAATCGAGGAACTACGGACCCGTGTTTGATGTCTGTGCAGGTGGAGGGAGACGTGGAAGAATTCGGAAAAAATAAAACAACGTAAAAAAAAAAACAGTTTTTTTTTTTTTTTTTTTGCCCAAAGAAGAAGACGAACACGACGGAAGGCGACGGATAGCCTACTCGGCGTTGTCTTACTTGATCTCTATCTTTCGTATATTTGTACTACATGCCTGGCCCGTTTTTCTAACGATGATAGTGACCGGTCATACAAAAAATCGTGTTTTCTTTTCGGCAATTCTCTCCTTCTTGATGTTTTCGGTTTTGTTTAACTTGCACTCTTTATGCTGCTGAATGTTCTGCTCGTATTGCTCCAGTTACTGTAATATACTCATATTTTTAAAAAAAAAGTAACGAGTATTTGAAGTAGTCCGTTACCAATATTTAGTAACGAAATTACATTACAAACTACTTCCGAAAAAAGTAACGCGGTGATTACAACACTACTTGAAAAAGTAACGGATTACAAGTAATCCGTAACTTGTAACGGATTCCTTTGCAAGTCTGGTTGTAACCGGCGATATAAGCTGGAATGCGCGAGCGCCAGCACGCAGTACACACCACGCAGTCAGCGAACAAATTGTCAGAACGGCAGTGGCGGTGCTGAAATTTCCTAACGGTGTATTCACATGACGGAGATTTATTCCGCAAAGACGAGCAAACGTCATCGCGCTTCGAGGTCACATGCGCCACATCACGGATGCTTGCGAAGTGCAATACCCCGTTCATTCTGTGGGAGAATAGGGTGGATGACGACGGGGCGGAGGGCGCGCGACAGGCGGTCGGCCGAAGAGGCACGAGCTAGCGCTAGACAGGGCGTGCATGCGGGGGGCAGGGGCCGGGCAGGAAAAACAAACTGTTGCGTGTACGTTTAAACAACCGGAAGTTATACCCTCAGCACACGGCAGCGTAAAGGTACCTTTGGCACAGGTTCATGTCGTAAAGGGAGCTGGAGATCGTAATCAAACGACGCACAAAGGTCCATTATGCTAAGGCAGCTCACCAAGCTCCTTTTACAGCTACAGGGAGTAGCCTCGAACCCACGAACAAAAAAATAAAAATCACAAATACATAAATATACCCTGTTTAATTCATTATAACAAATTGAATATATATACGTAGCAAGATTGTGAATACAAATGTGATACAAACTTGCATTAACGAAGAACGCATGCTGCAGCTAGCAAGTAGCAGCGACGGCACATAGAAAACAATGTCTGCTACTAACCCGAACGCGATGGACCACTGCGAGCTCTTTTTTAGGTTGTAGACGAGTCGTTCGAACAAGCCAAGAAACTTCTTCACTGAGAACTTTGCGAAAAAATAGAGCTAATAAAAAACAAAATGAAAATAAAAAAAGGTCGCCCACCTCGGAATGGAAACTCGTAAACGCAGATGATTTAGGGCCAGTGTGGCCAGACAGGTCGGATGTTTTAAGTCAAGACTCATTTAAGTGCACCCTTAGACTTAGAAAAAAAAAAAGTGCCTCAAAAGCAAGCACAAATAATACTTGGGTTTGAAATGTGAAATTTCACGCAGAATAGTCAAAACCTGGGCGTCAAACTGATCTCGAGAAATAATTGTTTATCACGTGCTCCTCTCGCGGTTTAGTAGGAACGCAATCGACATAAATTCAAAGTGCTTCGTTTATTGATCGTGTGATTCAGAACGCCGTTTACTACAGGCACCTTCAACTAAGGGACCACAAATGGCGTATCCAACGGGGGGCCCGGTCGGTATGCCTCTTCTGTTCGGCTATAAATAGCGTAACGGATTCGTTGAGCGGGTTGTTCACTAACGCTAACGATGGACGTTCAGGGCCCGTTTGCTCGAAGCACTAACCGCGGCTAAAGTTAGCCGCAGTACCTAGAAGAGGGATTTTGAGATCACGTGACTGGCTCGGTAGGGATGCGGGGAAACATGGCGGTGCCCCAGTGAGTGAGTGCCGCTCGCTTTGGAACTAATATGTCGCTGTGGTTGCTATATCGGGCGCGTTAGTCAGCTACGAATGGTGCAGGAGGCTTTCGCTTTGCCTTAGCTCACTTAAACCGCAAAGCACGGGCAATGACATCGCCGCATTTTTGAGACAGTGTTTCGATTCTGGGCACTCCTAGGCCTAAATTAACGCGATAATTGTCGGCATAGCAACGTCTTTGGAAAGTGGATTGTTGATAGCACACAAAAGCAGACGGCGTCCCAACAGACCTTTTTTTGTAAATTATCCAAGCACCGAGGTGCATGCTACGACTGTAGCTGCACGCGTCGCACGTGCTGGCGTCTGCATTAGTAACCGTTCTAAAGCAAAAAGTATAAAACAAATTTTGCCTTACACGCGCGTTCGTCAGAGCCTTATTATGAGTATTCAAATCTTTTATAAGAGGAAGGCCAGCGCGCGTGAACAGTAGAATTACACTTCCAGCGTTCTCCTCGCGATGCTTGGATAATTTAGAAAAAAGTCTGTCGGGACGCTGTCTGCTTTTGTGCGTTATCAACAATCTGCTTTCCAAAGAGGTTGCCATGCCGACAATTATTGCGTTCATTTAGGGTTAGGAATGCCCAGAATCTAAACACTATCTAAAAAATGCGGCGATGTCATTGCCCATGCTTTGCGGTTTAAGTGAGGTAAGACAAAGCGAAAGCCTCCTGCATTATTCGTTGCTGACTAACGCGCCCGATATTGCAGCTACAA